GGGGGGGGGGTGCGCACCCCCTGCACCCTCCCCCTAGATCCGCCCCTGCAGGGACAGGAAGAATTTCGTGCTCTCAACGAGTTACCGGAGCCTAGAAATTCCTTTGACCCAGTCATAATCCAGTATCTTTAAAATCAGTCGCTTAAGGCAACAAAATCAAGTCGAAACGACTCAAACTACGAAAATACATTTCAGAAACCGGGAATGAGTTTGTTATTAACAAAAGCATTAAACGTGCTCACCTATACGCTCGCATACTCGAGTTCGTTTTGCCTTCTATTTTTTTTTTTTTTTTGCATTCTCAGTTCTCAGGTCCAGGAGGTTTACGTTGAACTATTGATATTTTGATTAAGGGTGTCAGAGAACTTTTGAACGGTCTATTTACTTGTGTTTCACCATGTCAGTTTTGAGTGAAGTTCTACCCGAGAGTCCATATGAAAAGGAGTGACCAGGGGTGTGGGGCTCGTCGGAAAATTGGACTACCTTATCTTGGAGACAAGTCTGGAAGTGACTCAATTTTTATACCTCTATGATCTAAGATACCATTAAAGACAGATAACAGAAAAAGAGGTCAAGGCTTGACCTGCATCGTTTTGTTTCAGTTTGTAAATACTGTGGAGGAGATGGAAAAGGCCGTTTTGGTTCCTCAAAGCTTGCAAGATATGTCTCTCTCTAGCAGTAATGGAGTGGTCCTGGAGAAGAGTCTTTTTGAATCATTCACGGTTCTAAGGAACATCAAGAATATTGTTCTTACTGGTATGATCTTTTATGTCGTAGTTAGATACACACTATTGTGCAAAATAACAATTCAAGCAGTTCATCGGCCGTCTATAGTCCGCTGTACAATAGCCCTTTGTTTCTTTGGGTTACGTGACTTTAAGCCAAGTGGCTCTGGGGACGAGAATGGGGTAGGAGCACTAAAAAATGACTGCGAAGAAGGAGGGTCTCAATGGGGTTAACCGATAGGCGTAAAACAGCCAAAAATTTAGTCGATAGCCGTAAAAATTGAAAAATTTTAACCGTTAGCCGTAAATAGGGTAAAAAAGAGTTAACCGTAAAAGAAATTGTTCCCTAGATTTGCTACTTTTAAGGAAGGTACTAAGCTCACTTATGACACTTATGGTTGCGTTTTTTTTATTTCCCGGCTACTTTGACTCTGTACGCACGTTAGGCCAAGCGCCTGTTAGGTGTTGACCAAGACCTAGGCTCCACTTCCGCCGCTCTTTCAGGGAACAAATTTTTTCCATAGCGAAAGTCTGGATTCTTGCTGGGAATTCATATTTGCGATTTTCAGAAGGTCGTCCCTCGAAACACTAGTGAAACAGCACACAGAGATGTCAGTGTCTGTAAAACGCTTTGCCGATAAACAACATTTCCCTATTTTTCTCTGACACTACGGTAGACATTGCCATGCCTAGTCCCTGTATGGCGTCTTCCCACGCCATCTCGATCAAGGCATTTCGGTGGCGAACTCGCTCGGACCACGTTACCCGAAACGCATTAGCCGCGCGAAATAATGAGGTTTATGGACAAGGCATCGACTGACAGTCGTTCCGTACAGTCCTTCGCTATCATTAAAAACACTGGACACGGGAATTTTGTTACTGGCCGTTTTGACACTAGAGCTAGAGATTATCCGTCTGAGACTAGCCTGTATACGGTCGCCCTCTTCCCGACAGACACCTCTTCTCCGATTTTTTTT